GAATGAAGAGTGTTGGGAAATTATACCATCTCTTTTACGAGCAATCTTATTCTTAACTCATACATAAAGAAAAACAGAAATACTTAATCGCTTACTAATCAAATTTTTGTCGATGGTCAACGCGATTATAAGAGTGCGGTTCGAACATACAACTTTTTAGTTAGAGATACATGTATTAATTAATTGAGCGAGTTAAACAGAATTAAGACTAGATTATTCCTTTAATCATTCTGGTACGTGTCAATGATTTAAGTATAATTTTGATTTATCTCTAAAGTTTTTTTTTTTTTACTCACAACCTCTTGGTTGGAGATATGTGTCAATTATCGCTAAACTGTGCTCGCTTTAACGATTTATCTCTAAAGTTTAATCATATCTCACGTACTAAAAAAATATCATTACCTCACAAATTGTATATGTGTGGCTATATTGAATAGGTGATGTTATTTAGGGATGAGTAAATTGGTTGTGAGATTTAAAGGACCCGCAATTGAAACTTTTAAAACTATGTAGATCAATTGAAATCAAACCAAAATCATATGAACTAAATTTGAAACTTTTAAAACTATACAAACGAAATTGAAACTAAACACAAAATCATAAAAGACCGTTTTGGTAATTTGACCATATAAATATATATATTAGGTTACCTATAACTAAACTCAATATGTACCACAATATCAAATTTGATACATATGATTTAAGACACAAGCACATGGTAGCATAAGATTTTAGTTGAATACTCAAATAGAAATTTTGTAATTTTTGTAATGGTGAGTCAAAAAAATTCGTTTATAATACAAGGACAATATATTTTGTAACGGTGAGTCAAAAAAATTCACATACCAACGGTATTAAATATAAAAAAGAAAGAATATAATTATTAAAATAGAAGGTGAATCTCAATAGAATTCGATTGATTAAGATAGATAGATATATTCTATTGATTAGGATATATATTTGGACCAAAAAAATCAAAATAGAACGTAAGATGATTTAAGTATTAAATTATTATCTAAGTCTTAAGACCAATTGTCTTCTTTAAAATATAATATATACACACACTAATTTGTCAYAGCCCTCGAGAAAATAACTAATTTTCATACAAACTCATCTATAATTCAAATTGCACGAGTCAATTAATAATCAATTTAATATAATTACCAAAAAAGAAAATAAAAAAAGACCAATTGTCTTCCTAAGAAAACCCATTGTGGTTCCTCATCAAATTTTAAATGTTTTAATTTAATGTTTTTAAAGAGAATTGTATGTATTTTTTAGGCCCTCTTGGCAAGAGATTATTTTAAGTAGTTGTAATGTATTTGTTATTTTTGTAACAATTAAATGGGATATCTGAAAAATAAGTTTCCCCTGAACATTATATATTTAAAATATATGTCTTCGACCAAAAGATCATGAGTTTTAATCTCCACCTTATACTAAAACAAACTACATTAATTTCTTGCTTTTTTTATTCGTTTTTAGTATTCTCATTGATTCTACAAAGTACAAACTCATGTTTAGGATGAGAACTAAGGATGAGAACTAAACTCATTTAATTCTCATACACTTTAAAAAAAGAGTACTTAAAAGGATAGAAAATGCCATTTCCATTAATTTGTCTTGGTGGGTCTCATTCATCTATCTTTTTTATTTGCTTTTGACTTTTCTTCTTAATTTTTTTAGATTTCACCTATACTTTAAATTTGAGTAAATACTGCAATAGTAATGGTAATCTTTTTAGGTTTAGATTTCAATTTCAAATAATTTTAATAGACAATATTTTTGCAAAAAATTGACGTAAATAATATTTCAACTGTACCTCATTAGCATTTAAGTTTTTCTCCATGTTTATGTTGGGGGAAAAAAGCTCTTATTATCATATTCCTCTTTCAAAAATTTCTCAACTAATCACTACTTGAATATTATTATTATTATTATTATTATTTCTTTTTTTTGGAGGAGATACTTGAATATTAATTGTACTTTACCACTTCATGTCTATTCATGAGTGATTTTTTTTTTAAAGAAAAACATATTTATATTAATGATATAAATATTTGAAGTTGATAAAGAGAGACCTCATTATTACAAGTTGCACAAAATAAATGAAACTTGAAGAAGAATATGAATGTGATGGTAGCAAAATTTATAGGCACTTTAAAAAAGGAGCTATGGGAATTGAAATGAATGGTACTCTTAAAAGAACCTTCAAATTATGAGAGAACTCAAAAGCATTAAAAAAAATGGGATTAAAAAATTATTTTTGTGTCCAAATACTTTTAGTTTTAGATTTTGTTCACTAAATTTTGATTTTGGTACTTTTAAATATATGTTATACTTTTCAAAATTGATGGTTTTTGGTCATTTTATTTCATTTTTTATATTATTTTTCCAAATTTTAACACGACACTGCGGTCAACATATATTTCTTGAAATATAGTTCATAACTCTATATTAAAGGGTTTCTATCGAGTATAGAATTTTTGTTAAAATTTTGCAAAAAAGAAATAAAATGGTCGTTTTTTTTAAATACAAAGACATAAATATACATTTTGGGACCAAAATTAACAAGAACTAAAATTACAAGTATTTTAATTAAAAGAAAGATAGAAGGAAAGAAAGAAAAGAAAAGCAACTTGTCTCTTTCTCTTTCATGCATTTTCTTCATTCAAAGCCATTATTATTATTTATGAAAAGCCATTTTCTCTTTTCCATTGTTTATATGTAAAAGGCAATATTGCATGCCAAATTCAAGCATTATTGACCTTGTTTATTTTTCACCTCTTTTGACAACAAGAGCATTATTAGCCTTTTCAATCTTACTATTATTACATAGAAATGACATAATTTTGTTTCAACATGCATCAAACTTAACTTTGGGGTCAAACATTCATCCACTACCTTTGCTTGTCAAAGTAAACTAACTAGGGTTTGGATCTCGAGTTGCCATCAAAATAATCTCCATCGACCATCGTTCAAAGTAATTTCGATGATTTAATTTGGTGATCACATTTTGAGGGTGTACGACTTATAAATGTTGAGTTTTTATTGAAATTATTATTCATGAACTCATTATTGAGGAGAAAATAGAAAGAAAAAAAATTTCAAAAACGATTTTATCTCAAATTTGAGCATGACCAAAATTAGCATTTCAACTCGACTTTTTCTAAATAATCTCTTCATATAAATTTTATTTAATTTATGATTAATGAAGAAAAATTAACTGTGTGTTTTTTCTTCTTAATAGATATTTTAAACTAAAATATTTTCGTTTATTATTATTATTATTTTAATAAATTGATCTTCGTTTATTGAAATGTCTTCAAGACAGTTATCTTGATAAATAAAACTGAACAAAGGGCCAAAACGAGCATATCTTAATCGTAATTGATATATATCTCAAACCAAGAGGTTGTGAGTTCTATCTTCCACCCCACATGTTGTACTAAAAAAAACTGAACCAAGGTAATTAGACCCATTATTATTCATGAAAAGTCGTTCACCGATCATATCTAAATATTTATGAAGTTTCATAATTTGAAGAAGTAATTTGGAAAATTGACTTCAAATTTTCCAAAATGTACTTTCTGAAAAAGTACACAATAAAAATGTTGAAGTGGCTTCTAAGGCTAGAATGACGTCTTTCAGAAGGAAAAAGAAAACATTTCGGTTAATTAGTCAGCTAATTGACGTGTATAAAATTAATCTTAAATTCCCCTATTTGAACAATGGAATATCATAATTTTGAATATATACATATATACGATATGTTTCAATTATACCCTTATCATTTAAAAAGTTTCATTTTAACTCTTAACCATTGAAATTATTTTAAAATAACTATTAACCATTGAAATTATTTTAAAATAACTATTCACTAGCAAGGTGTTTTATATAATTTAACCAAAAAAAATTAATTGTTATAGTGAATAAAAAAACTGTCATGATTTATGATTATATTGTCTGCTTTTGGACATAGCTCTCACGGCTTCTTATAAATCCAACAATCCTCCCCTCGAATAAAGTACCACCGAGCCTCCCCGTAGTCACTCATCCATCTACTCTCGAACCTAAATTTACCTACATAGTTATGTTTAGACCATGACTCTGATATCACTTGTTAATGACAAGTGTACCCTAAGTACCCCCAGTACCCTAAGACTCGATCGACATAAGACACGTGGGCAAATTCTAGACACCACAGAGGATCAGGGCTTAGTCTAGACCCAATGCGTCGAAGAAGGAAAGCCCAAGTGGAAGGGTGCTCAGTTCAGTTTGTTCGTTCTTTCAAGTAGAGTTCTCCCGATAGAATATCTGCTACATTCGGTGGGAGTATAATCTCACATGTTAGAGCATCCTTAAAGTCAGTGAAGAATCCTCTGTCTAATAGTATGATTCAGATTTTTTGGAATAAGTCCTCCCCCACATTCCTTCCCTATAAAAAGAGTGCTAAAACTCTTATTAAAGGTACTCAATATCTTGTACCCAACATCTAACTCTCCTTCTTAGCTCTCTCAAACTAAATACTAATTTAAGCTTTAGGGTGCACTAAGCAGAATACTACAGTGCTACTGAGTTCGATCTTGTTGGTAACTAGCACGTGAAAATTATTTTCTTGCTACATCAGTCGATCGAATTTTCACATCAACGATATATATATTAATAATATGTCAATCTAATCATAATTTGTATAACTCGTCAAGACTTCAATGATATCTTCTAAAAATTAGTGTTTGCGTTGGTTACTACTTAAGTAATTACTTACCAATTGAACCATAACTCATATTACCGGGTAAAATTAATTTAACACTATTATTAAAATATGAAAATTAAATTTCAAGAAAACTTCACAAATAATAAGAATAACTGAGTAAAGTGTAGCTTTATCAAAGAGAGGAAAAAGAAAAAAATTTTCAAAATGATTATTTGGTTGGAGGTGAGTATAAAAAGTAAGTTGGAGATGTGACGAAGCCAATACAAGAAGAAGCTTACGGCGGGAAAAAGAAACAGAGCACACAACACAACGCAAACAAAACCTTCTTAAAAGCAATCTCTCTCTCTCTCTAGATTCCATTCTGTATAAATTCAACTGCCAAAAAAACTTGAACAAATTTCAGATTCTCTCTCTCTCTCTCTGCTTCCTTTCTTCGTTCCGGAGGGATATTGATGCAAAATTTTACCGGAGGAAGAAGGAGGCGGAAGATCGAGCTTAGCTTATGCACGAACAGTTTTCAATCTGTTCAATCTTCTGATCTCGAGCTCGGTAACTGGATCCGTCGCTGGTACGTATTCTTCATCTTCTTCTTCCTCCAGCATTTTCTTCTTCTTCGCCGTAGTTTAAGTTTTGCTTTCTGACGAGGTAACTACTGATAATTTAGAGATTTATAACTGATCTCTGAAATATTTATGTATTCGGATATAGTGCGAATGTGTTATGGTTTGGTAAAGACCTTCTCTGCTTTGAACAGATCGTTTAGTCCTTGCAATTGAAATTTTGATTTCTGAATCATATTTGTAATTGAATCGGAAATTAATGCTTACCGATGCTGCATTTTTCCGCCTCGTTGGTTTGCTTTATGAGAAATTTTGTTGTTCTTTGTTTTCTTTTCTCATCGCCGGTCTTCGGATAGGTTCTTCGGAAGATGTTTCTTTCTATTCTATTTAGACATTCTTCTGGTTCAGTCCGAAGTCAGAGAAAGCTATACAACGATCCGATCTATGTTWATCACAATCGGATTATGAAGTAGGCTAGAGTCATTGTTCGTAATGGAGTTCTTATCGCGGAGAATGTTGAAATCGCATTTCTGGAGGTTAATTTGGATGAGATAAATAATTGAAGTAAAGAAATGCTATCCGCTGGGAAACTGATAAAGGAAGAATCATTTTGCTTCAATTTTGGTCTTCTGCAGTGCTTGCTTTTCCCTGCCTCTACAGTACTGTGTAGCGAAACTTGGTCTAGCGTATAGCCTATAGGATTCCAGAGCCGAGCCCACACAGATGCAATTACCAAGCTGACAGTTAAAGTATGAATGAATATTTTATTCTAGTCATAATTTAAACTAAACCGAGGGGTATAATCGTCATAGAAGGGGTTTGGTAGAAGTTATTCCCCTGCAGCGGACTTACACTTCAAGAAAATTGAAAAAGTCCCTTCTTTTGTGCCCAAACTTGATGATGATTGATGCTCGCACGTATCCCGACGAGCCAGCTTTTCTGGAATCTGGAGTTGAAATTTCGGGTTGTTGGCTGATCGCCGAAAGGCGCATGTGATGCCGTGCCGGGAGGAAGGGGTCCCAGTATTTATTAATTAATTTTTTTTCAGGGAGGGGTACGGCAGCGGCACAGGATCTGTGTTGAAAATTGAAATTAACACAAAACGTCTAAACATGCATCTGATGGTGTTGATTTGATCCATCACAAACTTCTGAATAGATTTAACATGAATACGCAACAGATCTCGAGAGCGAAAAGTAAAAGATATAAGTGTGCAGTAATAAGTTAATTTGGTAACTTCAATTGCAAATTTCTAACTGTAATTTTCAGTTTTCTAACCCACGCATTTAATTTAGCTTTTTTACGCTTAGTCATTGAGATTTCTAACCGCACCCCCTCCAACTCTTTCTAATTGCTTCAGGGAAGAGAGAGATTCTAACAAAAGTCAGCAGGACTGAAAAACCAGTTTGATTATACCGTACGTACCAACGAGCAATGGACGAAATGTAGCCTGGGTTAAGTAGACATGGAGACTAGCGGTGGAGGAAGCTCCGATGAGGGGCGCCGCATATTCAAGGCCGATACATGGTGTAGCCAATTCCGTAATGGGTCCAATCCTTGGATGGCAAGATATATTTACGCTTTGATGTTTCTAATTTCGAATTTGTTGGCGTGGGCTGTCCGGGATTATGGCCGTGGCGCCTTGACGGAGATGGAAAGTAAGGACTACTTTCTTCCTAACCATTTTTTTTATTATAGAACTCTGGCCGAGAGGGAAACACGTTTCTTTCACATTTCATTTTATGGCATTTTTCTCTATGAAGCTGTTAATTAAGAGTAGGTAGCTAGGGAGGGAAAATTATCGTTTGTTTGATTGTCATCTGAAGTAGTACTGTTTTTAACCACTCGTAACATTTTGCATTTATAGAAATTGGAAGCATTAGGAAGCAAAAAAAAATTTAGGAATGAGCCTGCGGATTAGAGTCAGCAATGCATTGCATTCTAAAAATTAATTTATACATGGCATTATCTCAACAACCTTTTTCAACTATTTTCTACAACTAACTGTGGGAATCTAACACATGTTGAGAATGGACATAGGATTAAAAGGATGCCGCGGGGCGCGTGACTGTCTAGGTGCTGAAGGAGTTCTTCGTGTAAGCTTGGGTTGCTTTGTATCCTTCACATAATTGAGGTCGCTACAGAATATCTACTTCACTGAGTCAACTCAGACTTTGCATTATTAGTTTAATTTCAAGCTAACGTCAAGCTAGTCCTTAATTAACATCTATGTCAGACATTTTATTTCACCATGTTTCTTTCTACAACTGGCACGTCGAAGATGCGAGGACACAGAAGTACTTGGCATTCTGGATGGTGGTCTGTGAAGATTATCTTATGGATTGCCTTCACAATCATTCCTTTTGTGCTTCCTGCCACCATTATTCGGCTATATGGTCAGTCTTACCACCCCTCCACAAAAATAGAGAGTGAGTTTAAAAGTAACTAAGCTATTTTCTGATGCATATTTTGCAGGGGACGTTGCACATTTTGGTGCCGGGTATTTCCTTTTTCATCCATGTACATTACTTCAAAGTTTACCAGAACTTTCAAATTTTGTTATCAAAATCTGGTGTAATATATTTTGCATTCAACTAGAAGCTTTCGATTGCTTAACATAACGTTAAAAGTATTTACCATTTTCAGGGTCTTTCTTCTGATTCAGCTTGTAAGCGTGATAAGTTTTATAACATGGTTAAATGACTGTTGTCAGTCCGACAAGCCTGCAGACAGATGGTAATTTACCTTACCTCATTCATTGTTTACCAAACCCTCTTAGTACTCAATCTTCAGAAAATTTTCTTTTTACAGTTTTGATTTAGCTCTGCAGTATTCTTTGCCAGTATGAATTTAAAAAGAAACTCTTTTCTTTATAACAAGACGGATCTTGAAATATAACGAGCATTAGATCTCGACGGTTTGACAAAATTAGTACCTGAGTTTTTTGTGTGATTATTTCGTTTCTGCCCCATCACTTGGAAGCCATAGCAGTAAACAGATATTGTTTCTTATAGGCCTGAACTGTTGTTTCGAGTATTTATGACCAATACTCCTGATCTATTGAGACGATTGTTAAAGATAGCATTGCATGTGAGCAATAGGCTCTGGTCTTACACACTGTTACTTTTCTAAATGTAATCAAATTTTTTTTGCAGTCAAATACATATCATGTTACTTGCAACAACTGCATATGTGATCTGTTTAGTTGGGATCATTTCGATGTACATTTGGTATGTGCCTCAGCCAACTTGCCTCCTCAACATTTTCTTCATTACGTGGACACTGGTACTACTCCAACTCATGACCAGTGTCTCTCTTCATCCAAAAGTAAGTTCCATTCTCAATTCATATCTCCATTCTTGCCTTCCTATTTATTGAATGATTTAGTGATCACCTGTTCAACGCTACTCCTTTGCTGATCACCTTTAAATTTTTTACAAATAAAAAAGAGAAATACAGAAAAATAGATATTTTTCTATTTTTCAAAAAACTGTAAAAAGTTTATTGTTAGTTACCAGAAAGATAAGTGTTGTCCTGTAAAGTGAAAATATTTAAATATTATTCTTGGGGGTATGACTAACGAAGACCACAACAGGTGAATGCTGGCATCTTGACTCCCGGTCTTATGGGGCTATATGTGGTATTTATTTGCTGGTGTGCCATTAGAAGGTATATAATATTCTTTTACTACTATTTTTAGAGTTAGTGTGGGTGACTGTTGAAGTAGTGATTTTAAGTGTGTTTTTAAATACTTTTTTTTAAAAAAAAAAAAAGTGATTACATTTAACTATGTTGTCAAACACTAAGAAAAAAATTAGACTCGGTACTTAATTTACTCAAAATAAACCACAAAAAAGTAGAGAGTTACTTATCGGTGAGGAGTGAATTTTATTTTCATGTCAAAAGCGGTCCCCATGATTATTTTCACGCAAGTGAAAGACTCACATCACTCACGCCTTCATCATCATCAAATGGAAGTCAACTTGGATTTCATTATAGGAGATAGATTGCAATTCCCAAAAATAATTCCTGTAATTGATTTGTTTCGTGATATATTCCTCGAGCCTCACCTTTAATGCTTCAAACACATTATAAACATTGTCTGCAATAAACCCCGAAGTTTTCGTCCATAGGATAACTTTCTCAGCATTGCATTACAACAAATACCCTCATTTATTCAAATATGGGTATTAATTAAGAAACTTTTTGTTTCTTATTTATTATAAGCATTTAATAACGTTTCTAATTTGGATAATAAACTTGCAGTGAACCAGGAGGAGGAAAGTGTGTCAGAAATTCAGAGACCTCAAACAAAACGGACTGGCTAACCATTATAGTAAGATTTTCCCTTTTCCTTGAATCAATTTCAAGATCTAGTTACTTGTGGAATTGCATTATTAGGTAGACCAAACAATAGCATAATAAGCGTCTGTTCGTAAATTGCTTTTTAAATACTGTACTTTTACTCATAGTTTAAACTACTAAAATTTTGTTTAAAATCCCACTTTAATCATTATCATTAATCTAGCCCCACGTATCATTTCTTTATTTACAAATGATTTCACGAGGTCGTTTGAGTACTAATCTTAAAATTAGAAGCGAAAACAGAAAATTGTTTGGAAATCAGTTTCCAAAATTTCTCTCTTCCTAATAAAAGCTCAGATGACACAATTTTTTTTTTTTTATATATATCATTCCCATTTTTCTCCAACTATTGCAAGTTACAACAATCATGACGTGTGTGACAGAGCTTTATCGTTGCCGTACTCGCAATGGTTATCGCAACATTCTCCACCGGCATAGACTCCAAATGTTTCCAGGTGCGTTCTGCACTCCCAAAAAGCGTTATTTCATTTATCATCACTTCCCCACCAAAAAAGGGAAAGAAAAAAATAAAATAATTGTTAACTGAAAAAAGGTGCAGTTCAGGAAGGATGACAAACAGGACGAGGAAGATGATGTCCCATATGGCTACGGTTTCTTCCACTTAGTTTTCGCCACCGGAGCAATGTACTTTGCTATGCTTTTGATTGGTTGGAATACACATCATCCCATCAGAAAGTACGTTTCCCCCTCCTTCAACCTTTTTTTTTCCTTTTTTGAGTACAACTTCAACCTTCTTTTTTTTGTCCACTAATTTGTGGAATTTTCTTTTTAAAAAGTATTGTATATTTTAATATAATTATTCAAAATATAATACTTTTTCAATAGAATTGTTTGTTTTAAGAAATGGTTTTATTAAAATATTAAAAAAAATCTAAATCGTCAGTTTCAATTTTATTTCTTGTCACTTTTTAATTGTCAGGATCACTTTATAAAACTGTCTGTGAAATTTTTTTACTTTATCCTAATAAGTGCTCCTCAACAACAACTGAGAATACTTCAACTGGTCAAGAGGAGTTGTTTAACAAGCGTACAACTTTTAAAATTTTGATAAAAAATAATTGAATATATAAAATATAAACTATCTTTAGGATGTATTTGATGGTTTAGAATATAAAAATATTTAGGTGTTTGTTGGTCAATTAAATTTTTTACAAGTATCAAAAAGAAATATAGAGAAATATTTTTTTWAAAAAAAAAAACTATGTCATAGTTTTATTAATGGCTAGCACGAGAACTTATCATTCTTTAAAATAACTTTATCAAACAAATATTCTCTAACCAGGATATTTAAAAGATTGTAAGAAGGTGACTATAAACTGACACAGAATCCACTAAGTCACGTCTGTATATTTAATGCTTTCATGACCAAACCCAACTTTAAAATTGGGGAAGCCAAATCTTTCTGATTTCATAACTAGAAATTGAGTTCTGGAATCTGTCTGTTCAAGTTCCATCTCTTTACCTTTGACTCGATCCTTTTAGACTCGACATCGTCTCAGATTCCAACAAACAGATTAATCAATTGCTATAATTCTGGATTTTATTATGGTTTTATGCTGAGGAATGAGGAATATCAAAAGTTGATTTGATTTGATTTGATTTTTGTCTAATGGTCGGTTGCTTTAAAACTCTGCAGGTGGACAATTGACGTCGGATGGACAAGCACTTGGGTTCGGATTGTGAATGAATGGCTCGCTGTCTGTGTTTACTGTAAGTTTACAAGTTTCTTATCATCTATTTTTTGAATGGTAACAAGTGCTTTATCCTCTACTACCATTTCTTAGTGCAGTTTTGTTTTTAAAAATTGCTTCTGCAAATTTATTTCCTAAAAAATATAGGTGTCATTGGATGATTATTTCTTTTTTTTTTAATAATCTATGTTTTCAATTTAGAAAATTGCCAGTCGTTTTTTATTAAAACTAAAAAGTGAAAAGAAAAAATATACGTTTTTATATTTTCCCTAACCAAAAAAATTGAATTTATTTTTTTCAAAAAAACAAAAAAAATTGAAGGCCTAATTTTAAAAATGATATAATGATCAAATTTTGGTCTATTTTTCAAGATATTTTAAGGTCTATTTTTCATCTTTACAATTTACAAATAATTCTCCCATCTGTCCAACTTATCTCTAACTTTTCTCTCTAATATCTCCCTTTACTCCTTTTTAAATTTTCTCTTTCTACCCTCCCTTTTCTCTAATTCTCCGTCTTCTAACGTTCTCTTTATTAACTTTCTTCCCCTCTCCAATAATTAATAATTTTTAAATATAAATTTTAATAAAAAAGTTTTAAAATATAACATACTTATGAAATTTTAAAATACATATTTGATTTTTGTAAAAATTTTCTTCTCAAATATTGTTTTTCATAAAAGAAACAGAAAACATTTTCTATTTTTCAAAAACCAACTTTTGCTTTTTGTAAAGAAAAAACCTAAACTAATTATGCTACCATTCATTCCATTTTCATTTTTAAAAAAAAAATGCTTTTATGTCGTAATTCATGTTAAACCCCAAATAAACTATTTTCTCTCAAAAAATCAAATGTCTATTTTTCGAAAGTCATTTGAAGATTATATTTTTAAAAAATACTCTAAATTTTACTCTTTTATATATTTTTTTCCCTCTATCTCTAATATTTTGTAAATATAAATGAATGATAAAGTTTAAAATATATAATTTTAAAATTTTGAGAGAACAGGAAAACATGTCTACATGTATTTTCCAAACACTGAAAACTTAAACGCAGTTTATCAAAAACATTTAAGCAGTACTTTAGCAGACTTTAGGAAACATACGAAGACTCTATTTTCTATTTTTGCTTTTAAAAATTATCCTAAAAAGACCCGACTTTTTTTTCAAGAATGGAAAACCATTTTGAAGGCTATGTCCAAACACCCCCAAGAAATAGAAAATACTTCTGAAAGAGGATCTGTGTGTGTTGCAGTATGGATGCTGATGGCTCCAGTGATATGGAAGAACAGGCAGATGGTAGGATCAGTATGAGAGCTGAGCAGTAACACCTCAAAACATTCATTCAACGAGCGGCTCCAAATTCCTCCAATATTCTATTCTTTGCTGATGCGATCTGGAGCCACTGCAAAATTCAGCTCATGTAATTTCCAAAAGCCTATTTATTTAGTTTTGATTATTGGATTTGTTCCATTTCTTAATGCCACAAAAAAAGGCATTGCCCCATCTGTAAATACGTAGCTTATCAACCTTCAGGACCCAAATTATTATTACAAAAAAATAGAAGATTCAAAATAGTAGGACGCTTGAAAGTCTAAGCTTACCAATTACGCTTTTGTTAGATCTGACTGATTTCCATGGCATCTAAAATCAATTTGCTCAGATAAATATATACAAGATTTAAGCATCTGGATCTAAAACCATTATGCTCGGGTTATACAAGAATTAAGGAATATACCTAAAAGATTAAGAAGGTTCAGGTAAGAGAGAGAGAGATCATACATGATTTTTTTCAACATCTTTAGTATGCAAACAGAGTTTCACTGAACCGTTGCTGCAAAGCCTGCAAATTTGATCTGTCTGCTACAAATTTTTTCAGACGAGATAACAATATATAATAATAACTCACAACAATAAACAAATTATGTAATTGGCAAAAAGAGAGTAAAAAAGATACAAACAGAAACAAATGATACAACTTTAAGAGGAAAAGGCAAATGAACGCACAAATAAACCCGATGGAACTCTTTACTAACTCCTAAATTCACCACCGTGGCCTAGAAAAATAATCTACGCCTCCATTGAAGCAAATCTTGGTTGAACCTATAATTCTGACTTCTCTCTTTAGACCTCCCCCCGGACCGGACCATCAAACAAAATGTACAGTGCCAACCAGATAATTTGACTCTTCAATCTCACTGATAAAACAGAATATGATAAGCATTTGCAATGGATGGTATATAACCAAAACCTCTTCACCGAGGGATTTGGTGGTGAGCAATAAGACAATGCCAGGGCTAACTGGGTGAGGGACATCATTTCCATTCTCTCATTATCCAAATGGGTTACCTCCCATGGACGAGAAGGGGTTCGGAGTAGCAGGTGCCGTGAATCTACTGGCTGTCTGCTGACCCATATCAGTGTACCCATGAGCGGCCCCCTGGTTACCATAGTTGCCAAGTCCAGGATGCCTGGAATAAATTTTAATGCCCCATGAGGTGAAAACTAGGTAACCATATATCATAGAACATATCAAAATTATTTGCACTCCATGAATTGTGATAATTTAACATCTAAAGTTTTCCAATGGAGAAATCAACAAAAACTTATGATGGGATTATTTAGCTGGAAATTTGACCATCCTAGCCCATTGATGGGGACTAAATTCTCACTTTTTCAGGAAGGGTTTGGATGCAGACAAATCAATATTAAGCTACCTATAGTGAAACTATTAAGTTCCTTTCAGATGCTATAAATTTTCGAAAACGCATAAATTATGATAAAAATAATACCTATAAGGTTGTACATTGCTGGCTACTTGCTGTCCCATGTATGGCGCTGAGAGACAAAAGCATAATTTTAGCACATCAAGCACTATATATTTTAGAAGCATGCCGTGCGGGCTGCGGAGTAAGGTTTTATAGCAATATAAAGCAGAAAAGAATAGGGTTATTTTACTTGAAGGCATTGTAGATGGATACGGTGCCTGAGGAGGCAATTGCGATAAGTTAGACGGTGGCTGGAGTGGCATCCATGTTGATGTAGGATTACCATAGCCGGAAGAATGCATTAAATTTGATGTAGGTTGCCCACTTGGTAAAGCATTTTGCAACGGTGCCATGGAAGGAAACTGCGTAGAAAGAGAATGCGTTTATGGATGGGTAACATTTATGAAGCAGAAGGAAAAAATTGTTGAAGAAATTCAGAAAATAAATAACAGGATAGATACATTATATCAACTTAATATTAACTCAGAGCATATACAATACGCACATATATTACCAAATATGAGTAAACCAAGAATAATCGAGCACACTTCTATGGATTAACTAATTAAAAGGACACATTTCAGAAGAAATCATGAAAGTTGTGAATTCATGCACAATGAGCATTTCAACATTCTAAGTCAGTTATGGCATGATTACACAACCAACTTGGTAAATTACAAAAGGCCAAATGTCAAAATTAACCACAACATACTTGAGATTGTTCGCTGCTCAGATCAAATGGGTTTGTAGATGTTGCAGATTGTGGAAAACTTGGCACGGGCTGTAGAGTGAAGGAAGGTTGAGAGATATCTCAATTGATAGTGAAAATCTGTGTGAAAATATCCAAACAACAAACTAACAGTTTCAGGGAGAAAAAGTACCATTGTGGAATTATATGGCATTATATATCCCATGGCACGTGGTGGAACAGTTTGCCACCCTGGAACTGGTGCAGGGAAGGATGAGTAATTAAGAGCAAAAAGATCCTGCAGATGATCGGAAAACTTGTTGATTGTAATAAAATGCAGGAAGATCAACACAAGCCAAAGACAATTACATAATGGGACACAAAAGAGAAGATGGGAAGTAATTACAGCTGGCAGTTCTGTTCTCCCACTCGACTTTACTTCTGGTGCAGGAGTATGTGACACACCAGAAGCTATTGGCTGCGCGTGACTTGAAAAATCTTGGGGTGCATGTGCAGCTGGATTACTTAGAGGTCCTTGGGAATTAGCAGGAAGTGAAGCATTCCACGGCTACCAGAAATCACCAGCAAAAACAAGATGAATAAGTTTTCTTTAAACAATATACCATAAAAAATAGAAAGGCAAGCAAGTCTACAATAATGAACCACCTGATTGATGGATCTGTCATTCGATGATGGAAATTGTTGAGCCACAGGCTGAGAATTACCACCAGGAAATAAAGAATGCACCTGTGACTGCATGTTAGGCCATTGCCCTGAACCATAAAATATGAGAAGTCAGTTAGCAATATGGACTGATAACATTAGTATAAATCAAGGGCCAGCTGCTGAAGCACCTGATGGAGGAAATGTTGATAAGCCACTCACTGGTGCATGTGAAGGTGCTCCACCAGCAAAGGGAGGAGGCATATGGGTGTTCCCTCCTGATCCAAAATTGGGATCAAAACCTGTTGGTAACGTTGTCATGTTGCCTACAGGTGCAGCAGGTACAGCACCAGTAGCACCATGTGATCCAGAAACACCAGGTACAGAAGCTGAAACTGATAATTGGGAAAGCACAGACTCAAATGTGCCAACATTAGCAGGAGCAGGAGGCGCCTGCGGGGTGACATCAAATGAGGCCCAATTGTTGTCGTTATTAGTGGTCACTGTGTCTGTTACAGATTGCGGAGCAGAACTTTGGGGTGGCTGTGGAACTGCTGAAGCAATAGGTTCAGGCTCCGCATCAAAATCAATTAAACTTCCGGCAGGCTCCACTTTAGTTTCCACGATATTCTCACTGATGGATCCTAAGCTACTGGAAGAAGCGGTTCTCTGAAATTGAATTAATACATATTGTCAATTCACAAATGATTGTCTCCGGGAACAATGGAAAAACGCAATAGTAATCTCAATGGAAAATAGTAATAGTAAAAATTACTCAAAGATAGAATGGCAAATTGATGTGGTAACACCAATAGGTTCACAAGTAGCTCAACATTATGAGGGGGGTGGGGGGGTGGATAATAGAGAGCGTTTCAAGACTGCTATTGATAAGTAATGAAGGCTGGTGGTTAACAACAAAGAGCTAAAGAATAAGATATAGAACAAGCATGCTGCAATAGATAATGAGGATTAGTGGCTAGTCATAGAGCTTTCTCACATGAAACCGACTGTGTGAGGATAAATATAAATCATTTTCACAAAAGGATGAGCCAATCAGAATTATCTCCATGGGAATTGATTTATTAAGCATAAATCTCAAACCATTCTACTATTCTTTGTAAGATAGTAAACTTAAATCTCGCAGATTTAATCATATTTCAACCTGGGAACATTACAACCAAGTCAAATATTTTAATCAGATTTTAATGATAGATATATCAACATATGAACTTCACAACTAGTCATAAATATGGCTCTTGCTAAGACAACAAGAAACATACTAAATGAGATAAATTTCAAAACGCGGCAGCTAAAAAAAATGGACAAATACCAGATAAGGGTATTAACAAGGGAATTGTTGATACACGTGCAAGAGGAGAAGGGGTAACTGGACAAGGATATCAATTGAAGCATCCATAAAACTGCTATGAATATAAAAGCTCGTGAAAGAAAACCCCACCTGTTTATGCACGGAGCTATCAGTAACCTTGCTACCACTGCTTTTTGGCGGTTCAATTACACATAGAGGAGATATGCTCTCTCCCAGAATATCCCTAACAGGTCGAATTGTGGGAGGACTGGAAGAATCCAAATCATTTGGTCGCTCTGGTGACCTGCCTCCAATTTTTGAATCTCCATCAGATAATCTTCCATCTTCGACTCTTTTTCCATTTCCAAATCTATCTTCTCGACGCCAATCATTCACAACCTCAGGACGAGCAGGACTCCTCCTAAAATCACCATACTGCCGATTTTCTTGATCGGATCCTGGACTTCTTCGCTCATCAACAAAGCTTCTGCCACCAGGACTAGACTTTTCATTGTAACGGCGGTCTTCATATGGTGGGCTTCTAGAACCGCCTTGATATGTATCTGTTCTCCTGGTTTCATAAGATTCCTCTTTCTCACCCTGTAAAGGGCATCACACGGGTATTCTATTAAGATTCGGTTGTGCAAAACCACAAGAAAATGAAACATTACTGAACTTAAAAATTCAAGCAAGATAATAAGAGTTTGTGGCATCTCACTGTTTTTCCCCTAGGCGGCTTGTCAAAGTTCCTATCACCACTATATCTTCTATCCACATAAACATGCTTAATAAAGTCTCTGAGTCTCATAACATTACTGGAAAGAAAATTTTGTCTCAGAACAAAATCCGTTTGGACTAACATAACAATACAGTATGGGAGAAACAGTAAAATAAAATGACCTGCTGTCAGGGAAAGAATGACGCTGTGGATCCAACTCTTTGAAGTAAATGTCCTTTGCACGCTATAAACATACATGGAAAGGGATGAACAAAGAAAAAGTGAATTGAAGAAAATCATGATTCTTAGCGGTGGAAAGGCGAGTCCCTAAGAAGCAAAGGCATGCATGCATGTGAAGCCTACCTGATTTCCCCCTTCTTGAAGAGCGCTGACTTCTTGAGAAGTAAATTTGGCCATTGATATAGATTTTACCCGGTGTGTGAACTCACGGCTGTTTGATTGGTCAAATCAAAGAAGTTCCATCAATTAAAATGAACAGTATACAGGAAAGTATTGCTCCAGTATGACTAATGCAACCATGTGACCATTGATTTGCGTGTCTATCAAAAAGTAGAAAATATAAGAGAGATTAAACAAATACAAGAACGATCCACACTTACTGTATTCCACTACAGGTTGTGCAAACAAACGTCCAGAAATTTGTGCAAACGTACTGTGGTCCCTGCATGTGTTCCAAGAAAACTGATTGAATTTCACGTGAAAATAAAAACTAAAGGCCTTGTAACTTCTAATGATCATTCTAACTTCTTCTCATGGATTCACGATTTCAAGAAACAAAATCTAGAAGTGGTCAAATATGAATGAACGGAATTCTTTGTAGCAAAATGAATGCTAAACTTCATTTAATTCAACTGAATGATATGTAGTTCAAGCAAATTCGACGAAAAGAAACATGACACAGCAAGAAAGGTAGTAATAGTGTACCAGACTGTTGCAGTTGATGCACCGGCGATTCTCCTGAAGTTTCAGAAGACCGCGAATAATCCGTTCGTTCTTCTCATCCTCCTTCACTCGACTCGCCATGTATGCCAACCTACTTCAATGAAGATCAATGTTATGCGAAACTAAGCAACGATAAACTCCGAACAGATAAGCTCAAATGGAATATCAACATCAAAATTATTGTCTATCCATCCAATAAGCTTCACGAAACATGTAAATAAAACATGAACACGACGTTCTATCCACTGTTCACTTCAAGAGATGAACCAATTGCTAGTATAATACGTCGAAAAGAAACTAGTGGAAATTCCAATACACAGTTGAAGAAGTCAACAATCAAAGATCTCAATTATACATCGTCCGCACATTTCCTTTCAGCAATCAAACAAAACCTCAATTTAACAAACGAAAAAAAGTCCAAGAATCCAAACAGCGGATCTGAAGAAGAAAAACCTCTCCTAAGTTGAAGAACGCGAGTAGAATGAAAAAGAAACGTCCGTAGAACCCTAGATAAGTAGAGGAATTGAAACGAAAACCGAAACGGACCGAAATCAGCAGACGAAACGCGATGACTTCTTGCTGAGCAGCCTTCCAAACTGACAAAAAAAGCTCAAGCGATCCACCAGCGAAGAGCTTCGTGCGCGACTGAGAAACAGAGAAAAAAAAAGAAGAAGAAGAAGAAGAGAGAGAGAGAGAGAGAGAGAGAGAGAGAGTTGCAGATCTTTTTCTTCTTCAGTATCGGTAACTACGGCCTTTGTATTGTACAGCTAAGAGCTTAACCAAACTCCTGCTTTTGCCTACAAATTTTTTAGAGAGAGAGAGAGGGGATGGATCTGGGATATTTTACGCTGTTCTCGGGCGCACCGTAATTATCCTGTCCCAGCATTCGTCGCACGCCCGAGTTCGATGGCGCTTGGACTGTTGGTCTCTTTTTTCTTTTTCTTTTCCTTTTTTTTTTCCGAAGTTTTGCTGTGACAGTCCACGGCTTTCCTCGCTCTCGGTCATCCCATTGGCAACTGTCGTCTCATTATTTGCCCCTCCATTTCTGCTTTAATTACGATATTAGCCATTAGTGCGGCGCTTTTAGCTCTCTGATTCCTAAATTAAAGAAAGAAGGAGACTTAACGAGTCGACTTGTCGGAATAGTTTTAAGCCTACAAGTCGGCTGAGTGTCTGGTTGAGGGGAAACTGAGGCCCAGTATGAAACTTCAGGCCCAAATGCCTGACACTTGAAGCCCATTAAGCGTGGGCTCGGGTCGGGTGGTTTAGCTTGTTTCAAGAATAGCATCGCTCTAACTCGTCCTCTCGGGTGATTGATTTCATTTGTACACTTGTTCGAAAGTTATTCATTAAACTAAAAAAACAAAGCAAAATAAGTTATTTCTCTATCCAATATGTATTATCTCAAAAAAAAAAATAATAATAATAATAATAATAAATATTTTTTTGCAAAGTTTACTTGAGCTCGGTAGTGCAAGTGAACCCGAGATCTGAGAACATACTTGAGAAAGGCATCGGCAGTTCATGTACCTAAGGTCGTTTTAAACATTTCTGTCGAAAATATTTTAATATTTGAGCGACTTTTTCAATTGTGAAAATTACCTTTTAGCTTATTGAAAGTCATTTTTAAAATGGTACATTATATGGTGCAGATTGGAACGGGGTGAGGACGGAGAAGGCTTCTCTGTTCCCATCCCACTTCCCATTTAATTCAGTTTTAGTACTTTTTTTGGATATATAAAATTTAAATTCGAGAACATCCCTAAGAATTAAACACTGCTTATAGAATTTTTTTTCTTGTAATAGTGTTTTTTTTTATAAATATTGTAATAATGTTTGAAAATTATAGATTAAAAAAAATAAGTTTCTTCTATAATTGTTTTTTTTGAAGATATCTTCTATCAAAAAACATTGTGGGGGTGGGGTTCAAACTCATGACCTTCTGGTCAGAGATAGGTGCCTTAACCATTTGAGCTCGGTTTGGCATCTTCTATAATTGTTATATCATAGTATTTTAAATATAGTAGTAAATTTGTTATTATTATATTTATATGGAATAAAATTATTAAATGACCTATTATGGGCATGTGGTCATCTATTCTTATGGTAAATGAGCGAGACAACTTAATTGTTTTGAGGGGCGGCATTTATGAAGAATGCGAAACGGTTAAATTTATTTAATACAAAAAATATAGGATTTGGACAAATCTTGTAACAATTTTTTTTTTAAATAAAAATTTATTTAAAAAAATATTTATTGACAAATAATTTAAAACATACAAAAATAAATGAAGAAAACTTTGTCCYGGAGAATCCGATCTCCGCAAAATTTAGTGGAGAATTTCAAAGATGGAAAGTGAGATCTATTATTGATCATCGAGCATGCATAAAGTAAATTAAGATGGAGGTAATTTTGGTACTTGTGTAATTGAAATGATAAATTTGTTTGAACGTTTTATTTGTATTTTTCCTTRTGTTACATTTAAAGCTTCAATGAATTGAACTTTATCTACTAGATYGTCATTTTTTAATATAACAYGTGGGGTGGAGAATCAAACTCACAATATTTTAGTTATAAATAAATATATATTAATTATCGTGTAATCGCTTCGACTTTATTCCACCTCAAAATAATCGCTCTCTATAAAAAAAATTTGATTACAAACTTGTTTATAAAACTCTAAAATCCATCACCCATATTTGGTGTTGTTGCACACGTAGTCACTTATATAATAAGAGATTATACTTTAACTACTCGTTAGAATGATCTATAAAAATCTATGCATTAATATATTGGAGTAAGTTAGATGTGTATATAATTTTTAGACTTTCCCCATTTTTGATTTGCACGTTTATTTATGATGTTATGATTATTTTGAAAGTGCATACTAACTGTATGTATTTTGAGTATTCGAACTAATGATTTATTGGTCAGATACGTGTGTCAATTATCACCAGGCTAAATTTATATTGGCTTCATATACTTTTACATGCACAATAAAAATGAAAATTTATTTCACAATTTAAAATGTTTCTTGAAGGATTTTTTTTTTATGAACAGCTGAGGAAGGATTTACAAATAAGAATATTTTGTACATATTCAGTACGAGGTCCAGCCAAATACAATTGTTAAATTCTAGTGTGCAAAATTTGTCCTAAACAAGTTCAAGCTAATGAAACCAAGCTTCAGATGGTGCTCTGCATGGCAATTATCCTCACGTGAGCAGCACGTGTACTAACACGGCATGTAAACCAAAATATTTTGAAAGCTCTCGGGTCACGGCTTGCCAAAATATTTTATTATTTTTTTTAAATGGTAAAGACTTCGAATTATTATATTATTGGCACATGGACCAACCTGGCTGCTCTTCCAACAAAAATATATATATAATTTTTTTTTTAATGAGGAATTTTGAATCTTCCAATGAACTTTCAAAACACGGTGTGGGCCCGGCCTTCCAATGGTTACGGGAAACCAAAGAATTCTGGACCCCACTACTTGTTTTTACCATTTTATCCGTAATCTTTCTGGCTAGTTTTTGGAGTAAATTTGTCAACTCCCCACAATCATTTCAAGGGGCCATTTGGTTTATGTAAAAACTTTAAAATGTTAAAAAATAATTATTTTAGTTCAACTTTAAAGTTGTTAATTCAATTTATGATATTATTTCATTATAAAAATTTTATTAATTTGAATATAACTCAATTGGTTGAGGTATTACTCTCCAATAAAAAAATCGTGAGCTTGAATTTCTACCTCATATTATACTAATCAAACAGTAATATTCTCAATGAATAATTTCTATAGTTAGTAATAATATATATATGCACTAGTTTTTTTTAAGTCTATACAAGTATATTAATACTCGTACTTAAAGTTTTGTTATTCATATAATAAATACAATATAGTAGAAATGTTATTGGTTATTTTTATTAATCTTAAAACACTTCTTTTCTTCTTTTGAGTAAATACGGGGAGGATTCGAACTCACGACTTATTGATTGGAGGGAAACATGTTGATTATTAATCCTAGACACTTATCGACTACAAAGAATAATTACACATATAAAAATACGATTTCCATTTAATTTATCCAAGAATAATTATTCGAAATATGTAATTGTTTATACTTGACTGGTTTAAGATGTAAATATTTTATTTTAAAGTGGTATTATTACTATTATTTTTTAAGTGGTATTATTATTTATGAAGAAACTTTAAAATTATCATAATTATGCAAATCAGATTTAACATTAAGCTAGAGCCGACATTTATTGGATCAAGCGATGCATTAAATATGTTATGTAGTCTTCCAAGTTTTTAATACTTGATCTGTCAACTCAAAACTAGCATGTGATTTCATCAATGATCTAAGTTTTTCAAATAAATCAAATTTAATATTCTTAATCCTAATTGAGTTCCTTTGATTATTAATTAATATTATCATCGTGTATTCGCGTGAAAGGATATTCTTTCTTTCCTTTTTTCGGTCAAATTGAACATAGTTCAACGATAATTGACATATACCTCAAACCACAAGGTTGTGAGTTCGAATCTCCCAATATATTGTATATAAAAAAAAAGCTTCATCTTTTTTTTTTCGATATAGAACAAATAAATAAATTATTTTCCTCATATTTATTTATTTTATCTAAGTTTGAGTTCCCAATTGAAATGATAGGACAAGGTTAGAGATTAAAAAACCATCGTAGAGATGAGGATACAAAAAAGTACGTCTCCAACTCCACCCTACCTGCTTGTACTATTTTTCTCTCTTACACTAAATACATATTTAACGTTGTTGAGGTGTTTATCGGTCAGTATTTATTTTCGTACGGTCTGTTAATAAAAATTTGACAATTTTTTTTGAAAAATAAAGAAAAAACTTAATAGTAGTTGTCACAAGACGGACCAACAAACATCTAAGTATTTTTCATATATATTGTTGGAAGAAAAAATACGATATGCCACGTGGAGAGAGTTAGGAAGGGTTAGATGACCAGACCCTTTCTCACTATCTCGAAAACATTTAGTTGCCAACCTGTAGCTCGATCAACAATGATTTGATGCCTCATACGTCAAACTACTATTGGCTAAGAGAAAATCCAAATGCCAAGGTACTAAGATGCCAAATGCCAAAGTGTATGTAATTGTGTAACAAACTCCGTAATGTATAACCGTTATGTGTGACTCTTCTACCTCTTACCATATAAATAGAATCATCATTCTCAATTCAAGTACGAAATATGATTTATCTGCTTGAGAGCTTAGATCAAACCTTACTAACTTTAACGTCGTAGTATATATTTGTTTCCTTTATGCAACTATTTTCTCACATAACTAGCTTCGAATAGCTCAACCATACCAGATCTGTGTACCATTCTTAAGATAGATCATAATCGAGCGCTTATATATATATATATATTCATTGTTATTCTTTAATTTTGTCCATTATTTTTCTCACGTCATTGTATATCACTCTCTCAGTCTCACTCTCTCAGTCTCACTCTCACTCTCACTATATATAGCTATACATCTACTTAGTCTCGCTCTCTCATATTATCAAATATAAACTCTATTCGTTGTTATACACTCTCTCTCTGTCTCGGTATTACTGGTTGGCTTGTGAATATTGTTTGTCTCTCTGAAGGACAGAAGACAGCGGAGGGAGGGAGAGAGAGCGTTGGGAATGGGAAAGCTGGTGAGCATTGGGAAAGCTTTTTCGTGCTTCTCAAATAGGAGAGGTTCCAGATCGTGCTTCTGCCTCAAAATTGAAG